GTTTTAGGGTCAGGTAGGCACCTGTGAGGTTAATTTGAAGGTAAATTGTCAGGGTTAGGCTATAAAATTACAAAAACATTTTTAAAATAAATAAATAATTTAAAAAATGGAAGTCAATCAATGGTCCCCACGAGGATATAAAAGCAAATCTGTAGATTTGCTATTATACAGGAATTGGGATTACAAACACACCCAAAAAGAAAATTAAAGATACCGGTAGTTGCTTTTTTTCTGCTCCACAATTTTGGAGTTCATTTTGTTATGGATTAAAGCAGTTATTTTCTAATATCAGTAATCAATCAATTATATTTATCTAAAAATGTGCTTAAAAAGGAAAATAACTGTAGGATATAATATAGTTTTTCATGACAATGTTTAAGAAATTCCTATGTGAACCTACTACTGACAGCAATTTAATTTCAAACAGGGACAGGGCACACATGCCAATCGTCTACGTTTTTCAGTACAGTGTGCCTTTAACACAGTCAGGAGTCACAGAAAATTACGTTTATGACTATACAGATGGCTATACACTATCTTGGTATGGGCTTAAACAATCTACAAAAATTATATTGCAAAGCATTTAAAACTTGTTTAGCTCAAAACAGAAAGATTACATGACATTTAATTATAATACAAAAATCACGTTTGGAGGGATAATTATGAGAGTAAAAAACATTAATTAAGGCAAAAAGAAACACCTACTGCAGGCAAGAAAGGACTCCTACAATACAGTATGTGTGTGTGGAGCTCTTTACTGCTTCATCAGTCATTAAATGTTTAATTCTGTGGCTATTCCTTTGTTAAATTAACTTTTAGTAACATTATCATTACACACTTTTTAGGCTAATAACTATGGTTAGAATAAAAATGTAAAAAAAATACAGATTTCTTAGGACCTTGATAGTCTTGAGATTTCATTGTACAGAACCAAGCCTCCTCCACTACAGTCCTCGTCTTTCAACATCTGCAGGGTGTGTGTGTGTGTGTGTGTGTGGGGGGGGGGGGGGTGCAGTTTCATAAACAGCATAAGCAGGAAGTTGTTGTTCGTTGCTTACAATTTTACAGTCAGATCTGTCCACCAGGCTGCAGAACCACTAAATGTTCCTGCTGGAAAATCTACAAACAATGTTAATAAAACGATTAAACAGGATGATTAAAAACAATTGATAAACTTAACGTGAATYTTTGTAGTCTGCCAAGTCTACCGCTTCATTTAGTCTCTGATGAAGGAGAATAAATCCTTCTTTTTCACATTTAAATCCTTTCAGTGGAGCTGCAATGCTTTGGTTTGAATTCCTCCTTATTGTAACTCCACAAGCCCCCCTTTCACCCCTTCTCTGAGGTGCGTCTCAGATTAACTTGTGTCTAATCGTGTTAGAGACGCAGGAAGAAGACAAAGAGGAGATAAGTGAGGACAGAGTGAGACGGAGGACGTTTCGCTGTGGAGACCCTTGAAGAGGGAACAGAAAGACCTCCAGTTTATTTTAGATCAAAGTATTTAATATTTCTTCTCCRTAATTGATGTTTCTCAGCAGAACCAACAGATATAGTCTCTAAACTGTTATTAACAGTCTGGCAGTAAAAGCTCTACTAAACATGTAGCAACAAAAATGAAAAGAGAAACAATTAAAACACTTTATTATTAAGCCTGTGTTACAAGAAAATAATTTTGAAGCGTTCAGACTTGAGCGAGGCTCTGTCGCTGATTTAAATATTCTTTCAGAATATGAAACTTTTCATGGAGTTCTGGTGTTTCTTGTTGCAGTTTTATCATCTTGTTGCTGAGCGCTGACAGGKGGCTCTTTATCAGCCCACACTGAGGGTTTTATGTGACTCCAAAGAGAAAAACCCAGCACGGCTCGGCCATTCTTATGAGTATTAGTCAGCTTCATATCCTGCTGAGCAGACAGAGTCCCACACTGGGTCAGAACACTGACGTCCTCAGCAGGATTCTCAGCCAACACAACAATCACACACTGGATTTAACATGTTGCTTTGCATAAACATTGTCAAAAGTCTCATTGACGTTTGTGTCGCTTATCTTCAAATTTTCAATATCCTGGTGAAATCAAACATTTAAATCTACATTTAATCACACCCCCATGGGTTTAATTTAGTAATAAAGTAAAGTAAAGTTTTATTTATATAGCGCCTTTCACAGAAATAATTTCACAAGGTGCTGTACATTCAGGGAAGGGGGAGGGGCCAGTTAAGAAACACCCATTCAAGAAGACATACAAGACAAACATGGGGGAACAGGTGAAACCGGTCATGCAGCAAACACAGTTGTGCTACCTTTAACAACAGCTTYAAATACACAAAAGGAAAATTGAGTTAAACAATCTGCGAGAGAGAGAGCAAGATTTGCTCTAACACAATAGAAATTAACTGGTTAAGTCCACAACTCAAATAACTTTGACCTGATTTCAAAATTTACTATTCAAAAAAAGTAAAATATTTGTTACTGTTGGAAAGATGTAAGCTTTTTTTAAAATTGTTGGACTGATGTGGAACAGAAAAGATGCAGAGTAAATACAAAGAAAACAGGGAAGTTGAGTAAATCACAGTAAAAACATGTTTATGTATTTTTTAAACCTTTTATTTAACCAGATAAAAACCCCACTGAGATCAAGACCTCTTTCACAAGACAGGCAGCAACAATAAAAAAGGTAAGAAAACAAAAATTGCAAAATAAAGATTAAAATATATTACTGCCAACAATTTGATAATGAATGACAGTGTTGTGACAATACTAATTTAAAACAGTGACAATATAAGATTTAAAACACAGCCATTGTTGACATGATATCCTTTGGTTTTCTAAAAGCATTCAGTGAAACGAGCTCTGACAATTTTAGTTTTAACCTGAAATATCCTGAATCACTTTATAAAAATAAGCGATTCAATAAATAAATAAAAAAATAGGCAGTGAGCAGAGCCCCCCAGTGGTAGGCCTAAAGTTACAACCTTGTTTCCCTCAAACTGAATCAACTGTTCTGACTCAACACATTGTAAAATAATCCAAAACAGACGGGATCATAATCTGATTACAGATTAGACAAAAACAACTAAAGTTTTTGGAACTTTACAACCAAAAAACAGCAAAATACTGGAAAAACTATAATCTGCATCAAAAACTAAACTTCTCCTTAAAGATTTTTTCGTATAATTTCACAGGAAATCCACCTTCATTGAGAGTAAAACATCAATAATTCATCAGAAAACCTTTTTAATATTTGTATCAGTTTATTCTGTTGTCAGACTGTGGTGCAGCGGCAGGTCGCAGGTTTGACTCTCCGTTTGCCCACAAAGAAAGAAAGACAGACAGAAAAAAGAAAGCAAGATAAAAAAGGGGGATTTTGTGACTTCATCAGCTGGATCTGTGCAGGAAGTTTGGTTTGTTGGTTGTTTCTGATTACAGTGTGTGTTTTTGTCCCTTCAGGCTCTCTGCTTCATATCGTTTGTGTGTTTCGCGGCGTCGGCAGCGGCGGCCTTCGTGACCGTCCCCCTGCTGGAGTTCCTGGCTGCCGTCTTCCTGCTGTTCGCCTATTCCACCAAATTCAACGAGAGGTTCAAAGGTTTCTGCTGGCCTCTGACGGTGAGACGCACCTGAGGTCTGCTGCTCCTTTTCTGCAGCGTTGAACAAAAACAAAAGGCCAAACAATCACATTGTCTGTCTGTGTTTTCTTTCAAAGGATTTCATCAGATGCGTGACGGCCTCCATTATTTTTTTCATCATCTCCATCATGGCGGTCTCTAAATACACAGATGGTTCCTCTAAAGCCGCCGGGGTGAAGATGGATTTTAAACTCTTCACACTTTAAACATCCAGTTTCTCTGATTATCAGTTGCAGTTTTTTCTATATTTATTAACACCGTTTGTCTTTTTTGTCCACAGGTGTTTGGCTTTGTGGCCACCATTGTTTTCGCTTTAGATTTTTATCTGATTTTTAACGAGCTGGCAGGTTTCCTCAAGCAAGGAGGGGCGTCCAACGAGGAGCCTTCAGCACAGAGAGGTAACGAGTCAGTAACACACAACAAAATAAAGGCAGAACGTACTAAATATGTACGCCCAAATCAATCCAGCATGTGAACTTTAGATGCATTTTCAGCACACYGAAACATTAAAAAAATATTTCAAGTGTCGTTCAGATCGGTTCAACGTTATGCAAAACATTCACACAGTTTCAGACGATTTCAGTTTGATTTTGATGAGATATTTAAAGCACAGTAAAAACTAGAGAAATTGCATTTCCATGCAGAAATGCTAGTGTGAATGCTMACTGCTGGAAACTTTAGCTGAAAGCTAAAGTTTAATGCAAGTTTGATGGAAACGTGAAAGCAGCATAAATTTCTTAAATTTGCAGAAAGAAGTTGATAGAAGCATAAAAAATATATAAATTAGCAAAATAGCAGAACAGAGCAGAATTTTAGCTGAAATAGCAGAAAATAATCAAAATTAGCATATATA